GAATGCAGTAACAATGCTATAGCAATTATCCAACCAGTAATCAGAACACTAATGCATGCAAGGGCTTTCACCAACAATACATGTATACTAAGTTCCACATCTCTATGGCCAACATAGTTATAAATCATTAAGTGCAAGTTCCATTTGATTTTATGGTGTGAATGATCTCTCTACTCACAATTAACCAATTTAATTAGTTAAACCACAATGCTTAATAACTTTCTGAGTTCACTATATCTCTATAGCCCAAACCCTAAGTATCTTGCAGCTCTCTCTCGATAAGTCAACAAGAATAGAGACAATATCACACTTTATTAAGCAACTGAAAGGAAAATCATGCAACAAAATTTAGGCAATACTGTTTACATCACAATAAGGGTACTCTATCACTCAATCCTAACAATTTAGTTCATACTTGGGTGGAAAGAAACAACAAAGAGGGATAAAGATTCCATAAAACTAAAATAAAACAAACAGGGGCGTTGTTGTAGCACTGCTCTCGCAGCAACCATGGGCTCCACCACCATCCACCGTATCTCAGCCGCCGGAATAGTGCAGGGATCCACCGTATTCAATGATCTTTCTATCAAACCTTAGCCTCACCCTTTGATCTGTTGGATCTCTCTTAACAAACCCTCAAAATCTCTTCCAAGTGTTTCACCCATTTTCTCTCTCTAAAAGAGCCAAGAGAGACTCTCCAACCTGTTTGATGTGTGTAAGCTTCCTCTTTTTATAGACTTTGATTAATTAGGCTCCAATTAGCTCTTCAAATCCATTACAAATCATGTTCAAATCTGCTCTGTTTTGCTGCAGCTCTGATTGAAGATACAGCTCTATTTTGCTACAGCGCTGATTGGACATTCTTTCCTTATTTGTTGCAGCTATGATTGAAGATACAGCTCTGTTTTTCTGCAGCATTGATTGGAGATTCTTTCCTTATTTGCTGCAGCGCTGATCAGGGACAACACATAATGCTGCTGCATATCTTCTCTAAATCTTTCCAAATATACTTCAGATTTGATTTGGATTTGTGTGCGTTGATTTGTGGGATATTTGATTAGGATTCTTGAAGATCCTTGAGTGATTATTCAGATCTGAATATCTATTTTCATTCTCAGAAGCTTCTCTCCATTAATTTGGGCTTGGGTCTATAGCTTGTTGGTGATGATGGGGCTTCAAAACGGCTCTAAGTCGGTCCGAAACTCCGACCTTCCACAATTCCCCAGGTTCCAAGACAATCATGTCCCCTTGAGGAGCGATGAGGGGAAGGGGAGTTCAGATGATGAAGGAGTAAAAGGAGGAGCAGAAACATCGGTTGAGATCACCTCATCACCCACCGAACTACCGCCAAATACGACGTCGAGCCGTCGTTTCTTTGAGACCCCAGCCTCGAAAGAGGGGACTTCTTTGGCCTTTCCCTTAGAAGTCTTCATAGGCTTTGGCAAGAATTTTTTATACTCAGAGCTCGTCATACTAACTGCAAAAAAGAGCCAAAGATCAGAATACGAGTTATAAGTTATATCAAAAATAAACCGTGAAGATAAATCACATACCGAGTGTTGGGTGGTTTGCTGATGGTGGAAAAATATAAGTTCTGATAGGGGACGTTCCTCTGTTCTTGCAAAACACAGATTCGTCCCTTAGTTCCAACCCAAGTGCGCAAGTGCACGCATCAAGTAATTAAGGGAGTATTAATGCCCAAATTATCGTTCCCAGGAGGATAGAGTGCTAATTATTGTTTTATCACTGTTTATAAAGAGTGAAAATGAGAAAAAAAAGTTAGTAAATGAACTGTCTGGTCAAACGTTCCCTACTGTCTTGACAACGTTCCTCAGGAACAGTAGGTTCAATCTGATGGCAAACAGTTGCTTGCTGCGTTATGTATGTGATCCTTCCTGTTTAGAAGAAGGTGAGATAATAATCATTGGAGTTTTTATAAGTACTAAATAAAATAAAAACTACTAAAACAGAAATAACTATAATCAAGAGACAACAGGGTGGTGGTTAAAACAGTTTAACAGAAGGAACGTATTTACTGCTTCACTCTTAAAGGGGTTGTTTTCTCTACTCAAGACTTAGCACCTTTTAGCTTTGTCCCAGTTTCTTTGCCTGCCAACTCTGATTCCTCAGCTCATGGTCTAGATGGCTCTTAAGTTTCCATATTCCTATGGCTTCCTTAACTCCAACAGGTACTTAGTTCAGAACCTTAAAATGGACGAGTTGACCCCTTATTCCTAAGGTGACCAGTAGTGTTTTTGCCATGACATCTACCTTCCCCCAATGGCTAAGTTGTCTGAAATCCCTTCCTCATGGAAGTTCCTTTCTCAGTATGTACCCAATTTCCATTGGCGAACAATGAATATAGCTTACTTAGCCAAAGAGATACAAAAAGCTTCGGTCAAGAGTTTTGAAAACAGTTCTTTAAGAGTTTCACAGTTTACCCGTTCCACAGATAGTTCAGCTCATGGCTGATAGTTTAAACATAATTATTCTTAACTGAGATCACATAGATCCGAGATTCAGTCAAGAGATAACGATTGGAACGAAGAGAAAAACACTTATATTAATTTAAAAGACAGTTTACAAAAAGAAACAGAAAATGGAGAAAGATGGGTATTTGCTCGTGAGGAGTCTTGATGGTTGTTTACTGAGAAGAGAAGAGGGGTTATCACTTGACTACAGTTACAACTTAAAATTAAACTAAGTTACTAACTACTACTAAGTGATCTCTTCCTTTCGGACTACAAACCCTCCAGGATTCGATGATGTTTTTGTGTGAGGGTGGTTCTATTTATAGCTGGAAGAGGAGTGGCAAGACTGTAATTCCTTTGGAGCTAGTTGCTTGAATGAGGGGACGAGACTGTGGCAGCAGAGTGTGAAGCTTGCGTGAATTGCTGAATGGAACAGGATTTGGTGATGATTAGCCGTTGTTTGCAGACCTTCCCATGTTTTTCTTCTGTTTTCAGCCAATGAGAACTCTTGATTCTCTACTCTTCACGTTTTCAGCTGCTCAGTTGGTGCACTGCCTTGCTTTATAGAAGTCTTTAACTCTACGTTACATGCAAAGTGTACAGAAGCATTAAATGAATGGAACAGGTGCATTAAATGCGTCTCAGTCCGTTCCCCTTTTAATATTTTTAAAGGAATACGTTATCATCTGTTCCCCCACTGTGTTTTTGTCACAAATATGTAAAACAAGTGATTTTCATGCTGAAGTTGCTCATCAGATGAGGGAACGTATGGTATTTTGCCATCAAAATGGGCTTAGATGGGAACGAATTTACGTCCCATCAAACACCTCAAAACTAAACTGTTGGTTGTCCTCAAACAAATCACAAATATTGTATTGGTCTGCCCAATTTAAAAGAATAGCATAAAAGAAAGGAACTTGAGCCAGTGAGCAACCATTAACTTTTCAGAAAATGAACTACTCTCCATAGTAAACAGTAAGAGGATTCTGTCCCCAGATAAGAGAAGGTTGTTGATCTTTTGTCTCACTATCACTCATGGTTTGGTGTTTGCTCTGTCCATTCCTGGATGTGATTCTTCAGAACTTGCCTTTTTGCTGCGTTCCTATGAAGTACAGCTGTCTTCCGTTCCAAGGATTCTTTGATGGGTAAGTGTATGGAAATGTGGAAGAAGTGGTGGTCTAATTTGTGGGATCAAGGAACGTTTAGCGTTTGTGACTTTGAACTTGGACTTTTTCTGTTTTGAGGGAATACCTTTTCTTGAACCTTTTTCCCCCTTTGGAGGAAGGTTTTCTGGTTTTTCTTGAATTCTTTTGAATGGTTGTTCCCCTTTTTTCTTTGTTTTTCTTTTGTCCCTTTTTTGTTCATTGTTGAGTACGTTCTTGTTCTTTCTGATTGACCAGATGGTGTATGATGGAGGTGAGGTGAGTCTGTGATTCTGTTTTGATCCTTGACAGCAGAATTCATCTGTCTTCAGCAGTACTTACAGCATTAAGGCAAGCTGAGAAGTTTCATTGTGGTTACACCTCAGGAACGCTCTTAGAAGTAGGTGTTTGGCTTTTTTCCGTTCCTTACTAGTTTGAGTTCACACAGATCAGCTTCTTTCAAAAATATGAGGATTAAATTCCCTGCACTGTTTCTATTTTCAAGTACTCAGAGAAAGAACAAGCATGATTAGTCAGTGACTTTGTGTTTCATGTATGTTAGTTAATCCAAAAGAATTGGGCAGTCTTAATACTATAACTGAAATGCATGCATATACCAAACAGTTTGATCAAAAAAAGTCTTTTCTATTTCAAAAAGATTAATTACAAGGGAACGAAAAAAAAACTAAATTAAAAACGGAATTGAAAACAACTAAGCTAAGATAAATAAGAGGGTTTCTCCTTTTCATTGTGGAGGTCTCCTGTCCCAAGGGTTCTTCTTTGCAGCTTCTGCTTCTTTGGCTTCATCAATCTTCTCCTGGGTTAATGGTCTCCTCATGAGCAGGTCTTGCAATCTTTGGACTTCATTTACAGGGAGCCATTTTTCAGCATCCTTCAGTAGATCGCTGATGATTGCAACCAGGGAGTTGATGGTGGAACTCATCATGGTTCTGCCAGTGCGAAAATGGATGACTTGTTTTTCAACATCCAGCAATCTTGTTTCCAACTCATAAATTCTCCTCTCCAGATATGTTCCAAAGGCCCTGATGGCTTCTTTGGTTTCATTACGTTCTTCAGCTTGTTTGGAGACGAGCCTGTTGAGTAAGAGCTCTGCTGTGTGGTTGCGCAATGAGTTGGAAAGGATTAGGGAGTTAGCTGCTTTAGCAATTTCTCCTTGGACTGCTTGGAGTGTTGATTCATAGGATACAGCACTGGCTTCCTTGATGGCTGCTTTTATGGTGCTGAGTTGTTGTTCTCTCTCCTCCCTCTGCTGTTCCTGAAGGGTGTTGAAGGAATAGGAGAGTTGTGCCAGTCCGTCCCTTAGAGCCTGCAGCTCTGCATTGGTGCTTGTCATGTCAAGTTAGGGAACAGACTTCTTGGCTGGCAACTATTTTTCTAATTTCTCCCCCAGCATTTCAAAGATTTCAGCAATCCCAATTTGTGATTTTCTTCTAGCTGCGATGGGGATTGCTGCAGTAGGGGAGGAAGTAGGTTGCTTCTTCTGCTGGCTATTGCCAACAGCAGAAGGCACAACGGGTGCTGTGCTGGGTTCATCCACTTGTGGTCTGGATGATGAGGGCATGGTCGCAGCTTGTTCCTTCATCAGTGGAGGAATTGCCATCCCTTTTTCTTCTGCCAAAGCTCTGGCAAGAGCTTCATCCTCAGATGTATCGGGACGGATGACAGGAAATGACAGAGGACCTCCCAGATTGATCTGCCTGGGGCCTGTTGTCTTTGCTTTCTTCTTAGGGGGTTCTATGAGAATCCCCTTTCCTTTGTCATTTTTCTTCTGTGGCTGAGCCTCTTGCTCAGCCACTGATGTCTCTGTAGCAGATGCTGCTTCTTTGTCTTTCTGTCCCTCTCCTTGTTGTTTCCTAGGAGAGGGTTGTGGGGTGATTTGTTGTGGTGGAGAGTGAGCAGGTGGTGGGGACGGAATGTCAGAAAATGTAGAGTCTGAGCTGCTTGGGGACATCTCCTTGGCAGCTGGTTTGGTTGCTGACATTCTGCCAGCCTTCAGCCTTTTTGCTAAAGGCTCATTGTCTTCACTCTCCTCCTCCTTGTCAGTAAGGGTGATAGGCTTTGCAGAGGATGCTCTTTCTGGCCTATTGCTGTTGAGGACCCTCTTTATCCTCTGACTTGAACGTTTCCCCTTTCTTGGGGGAGGTTTGGCAGGAGATTTCTTCTTTCCCTGTTTGCCATTAGTAGCAACCGGAGCATCCTTCTT